TGAAAACCCGTCCACGCTTTACTGTGGCTAACACATACATAGATAATACTATTACTCTACTACTACCATCTATATGATTTCTATTAGGTATTAAAATAATATAGAACTTTTGTAAAACAACTTGTGTTAGTTTACAACAAAATTGACCATAAAGCATTTCATGTGTTAATTAACCATTGATTTTTGAGGGCATAAGGGAAAACACTTTTGGACCGTTTCTGTACAATAAAGCCTTAAATTTACAATAAAGCCTTAAATTTACAAAAAAAAACCGCGGAAGCAAAGTTGTAGACTTAATACTATATTTATTATTATATTATATTATATATTATACTATTATTATTAATACTATTATTGTCATTAGACAAATTTTAAAATGAGAAAAGGACATTTTCAAACCTTTTCAATAAGGCGAGGCCAGTAGATTCCAGTTGCGAAGTTTCGCAAAGTAGTATTTTAGAAAGCGATGATTTACCATCCACAAATTCCTCCAGGAACTACTACTTTTTTGTAAAACGTTCATGTATGAACATGGATTTTTAAATATTATATCACGTCACATGTTGTTTTTCTATATTCGTTATCTTGTAGCTCAGTCGCTGCTTGTATGTGAGCTTGCAGTCATTTACATTTTAACTTTACTATTGTGAAAGTAGCAATAATTAATTATTGCAGGAAATTTGAAATCTTTATTACAATTTTATTTGATTTAAGTGCTGATATAACGTTAACAAATTTAAATTTAAATTTTATGAAATAAAACATGTGACCATGTTGAAACATCATTCCGGATCTCTCAACTAATTTCTTGTTCTCAGCACGATTTTCGTAAAGGGAAATCTACAATAACTAATTGCATGAATTTGTATCACATGTATCAACGGGCTTTAGGGAGAATAAGAATACTGATGTTATATACGCAGATTTTAGTAAAGCTTTCAATAAAGTATCCCATTCAATTCTTTTGAATAAACTTGATCTTTTTGGTTTTCAACCAATATTTCTAAAATGGGTTGCTTCTTATCTTAGTAATAGAACTCAGCAAGTCATATTTAACGATACTTTTTCTGACAAAATCAATTTTCAAAATTCAGGCGTTCCTCAAGGTAGCCATCGTGGCCCAATTCTGTTCTTGTTATTTATTAATGACATATCATCTGTTGTTAAGTTTTCAAAAGTTTTATTATATGTGGACGATGTAAAACTTTTTAAAACGTATACTTCATACAGCGAAAGATGTCAGTTGCAAACAGACTTAAAAAAACTAGTTTCTTGGTGTGATAGAAATGACATGCCCTTGAATCTTAAAAAATGTAGAATTTACAGATCCGCTTACCACAAAAATTCTTCTTACATCTCTGGTGAGGCCTATATTAGAGTATGCATCTGGGGTTTGGAACCCTAGTTACCAAGTCCATTCGGATAAGTAAGAGTCCGTTCAAAAACAATTTTTACTTTTCGCCTTAAATCATTTGCATTGGAATCCCAGTTTAAATCTTCCCACTTACACTAATCGCTTAAAACTTATAAATCTCCCGAAACTCGCTAGTCGTAGGGAGATGCTTGGTATAATATTTCTTGTAAAACTCATGAATGGGTCAGTCTGTAGCATGTCTTTTATCTGATATTATTTTTAACGTTCCCGCTCGCTCTACAAGGCAGTTTAGACCCTTACCTTTAATTTTTCTAGAACAAATTTTGAGCTAAACGAACCATTCTGCCGCATGTGTCATGATTTCAAATCTCATTTCCGGCACATTTGATCTAACCATTTCACCATTAAAAAAATTATTTTATTTACTCTTTACAAGTAACTTTTAAAAATTATAAACTTTAATTTTAATTCTTAATTTTGGCTGTTGAAATTTTTGTTTCTGTAGCTGAGCAGCTTACGATCGCAACGCTTAAAACTCTCTTTCCTTTTATGACTCGGCTATTTCCACTCATTCGCGGATTGCGTTGAGTATTATTATTATCAGGAGGAACTGCCAGACGTTTTAGGGCTAACAGATTCTGTGAAGTAACAGATAGCTGTAGAGAGACATTAAGTAGTTTAGATATTGAAGAAGAACACGAGTATATTAGAGAAAATGACTGAGTTTTATTTAAAGATGATGAGGTTGACGTTTGTGTGGAACAAAGATGTTAGTGACGGACTTTGTCAGGGATTGAAGACATGTGCTGTTAAATAATACATCATCATTTAACAGACCTTTTGCAAACCTTAAATATGGGAACTATGAGTGTCTTATAGAGTTTGGTTTTTGTTTGTCAAGAGAGGACTTTACATCTCAATTGCCTACTCAGTCCGAAGTAGCACCTGTTGGCAAGAGTTATCCTGTGTTGGATATCCACTGGTTCCCAAATATACGAAACTAGCTACAGGTTCACAACATAGTTATGACTGTCAACAGCGACGTGCGTGAAAAGTCGCGACGATTATTTTTTTGATGACAGGAGGTCCTAGGGTGAGTTTTTGTATTTAGGAACACAATTTAATTTCAATTTTCCAGATTTTGATTTTTTAGACGGGGTAGAAAGAGTTTCTATAGATGTAGGAATAAATGGATTTAAATTATAAAAATTCCAATAGGACCAATTTTAGGTCTTAGCTTCCCACACAGAAGTCCTTTTACAATCGCTTGCTTCCAGGATTGTAAACGATTTTATTAAAGAGTTTTGTGACGAAATACAGATCTTGCAAGAAAATGGAGTTAAAGTAGGAAGTTGGGCTTTTTGTTTGTGACCCACCAGCTCACAGATTTTTGTAACTGGTGTAAGTCACAAGCCGGGAAGAATTGCTTCCTAAATGCGTTCCGGAAGAGACTTATAAAAAAAAAGAAAATTCGGGAATGATAGTTCTTTTATGATTAGATTAGATATTAGTCATCATATAATGGAATTTAGGGATTGCTAGAACCAGTATATATTGATATGGTTTCTCAATTTCCATTAGAACCCATGCATTTAGTTGATTTAAGAGTTACTAAAAAATTTCTTCAGTTGCTTAAGAGAAGGAACGTAACAAAAATTAATAAGAATATTGTATAGTTTAATAACTACGTTCCCTCTGAATTTTCCAGACGCAGTAGAGATGTGGACAAAATAAGCAACTATAAGTCAACAGTCAGTTTTGTTTATTTGTGTTAAAGTATAGCTTACTGGATGATTGATATTTTAATTTTATTTTGCTACAATCCGGTTTCCGCCTTCTACGTTGTGTAGAATTAACTGTAGCTTATGAAGTGTTGAAAGAATTTGTTAAGTTATTTAGTAATTTTTAGGGGGAACATTTAGTTAGTATCACTATTCATGTTCTTTTACATTTAACTGATTGCGTTCAAAAATTCAGGCATCCAGATAATTTTTCGGCATATATAATATAATTTTTAATATCATATGTGATATATGAAAAGAGCTATTAATAACCGTAATAAGATTTTACAGCAATTATACTTATATTTAAGATTAGAAAAAAGAAGAAAATTTACGGATTCTCGCAAAACAGTTTTTTTTACCTATAAAATAGTATATTTGAAAATATTCAACGAAAAATCCAACCAGATACTTTTGGTTGTGTTATTTTAACAAAAGTTGGTGGTGTTTTTAGAAAGCCTTTGACAACCTGTAAGGAATCGACAATATACTCGATTATAGTGACGTCATTTCGATTCGATCCAAACTAGTCGATTGATCGAGAACGAGTGTTTCTGTAAGCATAAGTCGACAAAATATGAAACAGTGAGAGAAATGGAACGCCAATCGACAAGAAATCTCTCGAATCGGACTGACAACTTCATGTTTGAGAACCTATTATTGAGAAAAGTAAGCATTATAGAAATATGTGCACAAATATTTAATTCTTATTAATAAATACAAATTGATTGTGTTCCAGCTATAAGTTTATTGGTAATAACGCTCGCCATACGGCATGACAGAACGCCATTCAGCATTCCCGAGCCGCGTTTTCTTGAGTTATTCCGCTTCAAAGAACTGCAGTACGGGCACTCCTTGTGGAAATCGAGCCTTTTATGGACACAGCAGTAAGAAGCACATTTATTCCAAACTCCACTAGGTTGTGTGTAGCGCTGCATTACTATGCTACAGGATCATTCCTTACGGACGTAGGTCGTAGCCGCATAGTGCATCAAATTACAGAGATTTTGCAAAATCATATGGCGCAATGTTACATCATTTTTCCAACTACCTTAGAGCAGCGGAATATTGTGAAGCAACGGCAAGTGAAGTATTATAATCTTGAAGATTAATGGTTATTTATAGCTGGCTTATGTTTATGTTCACTTCCAGGTTCTTCACTGCTACTGGATTTCCTGGCATCTTAGGAGCGATTGACTGCACTCACGTCAAAATTAAGAAGCCACCACTTGCAATAGAACACTGCTACATTAATCGAAAAGGATATTTTTGCAAAAATGTGCAATTAGTGTGCGACTTGATTTAAATATCCTGGCGTGCTTTGCAAGATATGGGGGAAGTACGCACGTCGCCTACATATGGGAAAGCAGTACACTAAAGTCCCATATGCTGAATGAGTACACTGCCAATGGGTCCACAGGATGGTTGCTTGGAGACTCTGGATATCCGTTGCAGCCGTGGCTAATGACTCCATTCAGAAATGTAGAGAGTATTAGTCAGCAAAGCTACAACGATTCTCACGCACGAGCTTGAAATTTTGTGGAACGCCTTAATGGAGTTTTACAAAAATTATTTGGGTGCCTTTCCGAAGACCGTGGCCTAATGGTGAACCTCTCATTTGCAGGATCAATAATTAAGCATGCTGTACGCTACATAATATTCGAAAGAGATATAATTTTCCACTTGAAAATTCTCCGAATGGAGACAATGGTTCATTACTTAACATTTGAAATGAAGGAAGAGCTATACGATATACTATTTTACGAAACCACTTTTGTAGTTAATTCACATACAGTGGTGTTCAGAAAAATATGAGGAACACTCCAAATGATACTGTTTGCAAATTATGTTTAACTCTTTGTTTTTATAATATATATTATAATAACAGTAGATTGTAGTGAATATTACTGTCCTTCCGGGAAGAGATTTCAATGCAACAACAATTGGAGCGCGACCATGTAACCCCGTTTGAAGCAGCTACTGCTATTGGTGTACATACGCAAAGCCTTGACCCAACCAATGAATATAATATTTAGAAAATATGAATATTTTGTTGTGCCTACTCCTTATGCAACAGTCGCTAGAAGAAAAGGAATATTTATGAGATTTAAGGAACTTACAAATTTTATCGCAAATTGTTACCTCCCGTCATGGTTTCCAGCAGAGCTCTGAGTGTATCGTGAATTCTATTTAAAACACCCATGTGCTCCTTGTGTTGTCTCTCCAAAATCTCTTTCAGCTGCGCATGGTGATTTTCAATGAGACTGCTCGCCTCTTCCACACAGCTTTGGTTTGTGTGCTATTTGGGCTTCTGTTTGTTTGGCACAACCTCAAGCACCTGACCCATTGCAACCTCTTCAAGTGCCTCCACTTCGAAGATGTCCAAACTGTCCGCGTTTGCCTCGAATTCGGAACGGATCACTAAATAGCTTAGTTTTTAGTTTTGTAATATGCTACTTACGTCCAACCCAATGTTAGCAGTAGCATCATCCTAATCCTCAATGGTAACATCGACCATTTCAGCAGTTGTCTGCAATATATACCAATTTTATTATCACATTTATAATCACAACTTTAAATTTTGACAGACGTTACTCACCGACAAACCAATTTCGGGAGTGAGCCCATCACCGTCCACCATGTCGCTGGAAAAAAACTCCAGAATTTCTCGGTCCATGGCATCCAACGGGTTTGGACCGTCCTGCAACGGCAGGTTTCCAATTCATCTGGCGAACGCTCCGTGGGCATTGTGCAGCTTCTTGACTGCCGATTTCCAGTCTATCCAACACTAAAAAAAAACAACACACATATGTAAATTGTAATGCTATACACAGGAATATTTTAGTTTTACCTTTTTCCACTGATTAGGGGACTTGTGGGACCCTCCCAATGCATTTAATTCAGCAGCAACGATAGCCCAAACCTCTTCGTGATCCTTCCTCGCGTTTGGTTATATAAATTGGGCCCTTCCAACGCTGCGGTGCTGCTGCATTAAGTGCAGTAACTGCCTCTTTTGGCCATTCGTAACACGCCCCGACGTACTTCTCTTTAACGAAAATGCATCAAATCTTTTTTAACTATTCATATATAATATATTAACAAAAATATACTTACATTTGCTTTAAATTCAACTAATTCCATTTTGAATTTAACGAAAAATTTTTTTGTCATCACCTCAAATGGAAGTGAGAAAACCAACCTACAGTATTTCATTCAATTTGGTTATGGAATGGAACATATCACCTGACTATCGATTGAATCGAGTAATTATTTTACAGAAACACATTGAGTGACGTCAAATCGAGAATTTGACATCGATCGAAATGAGTTACAGAAACGCACTACTGGAATAGGTATTCTAGTCTGTCAAATTATAGATGAGGACGTGCAAATAATTAAAAACATAGATTTGGAATTAAAGTATTTTTATATTCCAATAGGGAATGTATTTATTTTAGTTCCTCTATTACATATCTTATTTTATAATTATACATAGATAAATGGACAAGGCATCTAGTTGGTAAAGCGAACTTATATTAGTTATATGTATTTTATTCTAATAATTGTATCGTTCTTTGTGGAAGGAGAAATGAGCCGTTTTTACATCGCCGAACCACACAACTTGAACCCAATACGGGTCAAACTCGTAAAAAGGCAGAAACTTCGATAATACTGCAACAAATTTTGGGGACCCTTAATAAGATGGAATCTCGGCAAGAGGAAATAGTGAAACGGCTTTCAGCTGTGGAAAATGCTCTTGCTGAGAAGGTATTTATTGAAATAGAATTATAATACTTCAAAATTATTTAATACTTATTTTAAATTTCAGATGTGGCGAGTGAGGAGCAACTTCTATTACGAAACTTGCTTTCCGTGTGGTCAGAAAAAACACCGTTGAAGATGGGGGAGCACTTTACATACAAAGCTCACGCTGACGCTTTGGTAAATTTGCTTTCTTCACATATATATTTAAATATATATTGATAATTATACAAGTATATTTATAGGCGGCCATCATCTTCCACCTAAAGCCTACCAAGGGGTCTTAATTTAATGAGTTAAAAATCCAACTCCTCTACCCGGTAAAACTGACGCATAATAATAAGACTGCTGAATTCACCACAGCTGGTGACACTACAACACAACACCAATATAATAAAGAGAATGGACAACGGGAATGCTCACTCAATTCGTTCTACACAAGCCGCCCATCCACAATCGTTTCATAACTTCACACTGCGCCGCGGAATTACCACTTTTGCTTCGATCGTCATCGTTCCACCCTCACCAACAACGATCCAACACATCCTATATCGATTCGTCACGATATATTATTCCCAAAACATTGTACTGCAAACAAAAGATAACTCTAAATATTATACCTTTTAAACAGTATTCATTTTTCATTTTAAACACTCGCGATTAAAGCAAAACTTCTTCATACTTCACATATATTTTTGGATACGAAATCTTTGATATTCCACCTTTGGGAAGCAATTGCCCGATAAATTTCACAGGTGCATTTGTCGGACGGCGGGCAGGATGCAAGTCGCAATTTCTATCGGAAACAAAAAAATTCAAAGAGATTCATATTTTTTAATAATTTATCTTCAAGTTAAACTAAAAAAAATTCCAAAAAAGGGGAAATGTTATTTTATGTCATTTAAAAATATGTTCAAACTTGACTTTTCTTAGTATTTTTTTAGTTTAACTAGAAGATAATTTAATGCCAAAGACTATAAACTTTGCCTTAATTCCATACGACGTTTAATTTTTTTCTATCCTGCCCGCCAATTAAGAAAACTCGTAAAAATTAAAAACCTAGAAATCGCGCTCGATAGTTTTCGCTTTCTGCCCAATCGCTCATATATCTGCTAGACGCTCGGTCACTATTTTTCTTCTAGCTTCGAAAATATTTCAAATTCTCATCTAAAACTTTGAGGACATATTCGTAGATTATTCTTAAAGAGATTTAAGCTGAAAAAAATCAATATTTTGAAGCTTCTGAATCAGGCTCCCCCTTAACTGCGATATAAAACTGGGCAAAAAATTAATTAAATTGAAAACAGTGGACCTCACTCCCGGTAAATATTGAAATATTTTGATACGTTCACTTATTTAATTCTTAATATTTCATATGTGTAAAATAGCTGCATTGGCAAGTATGTATGTATACATAAAACTTTCGGTATTAACCGTGCGAGTCTGTACTGTGATACAGTATCAAGTCTCTAAATTTGACAGAGACAATTTTTGAGACTTGAGACGATTTTGCTATTCTATAAGTGATAGTCACAAACTCTATTACATTTTGTTATTCAGAGATGTTTTTATACTTGAATGAAAATAAATATGTCGATAACAAATATTAAATTTTCTATAACATAGTCAAAAAACATAATTATCAATAAAAATAAAAATATATGTTGGCTTTGTTTCATAATACTAACGAAATTTATGTAAAACTTATTTATTTTTAACCTTTTCGTGTTTGAGTTGCCTACAAAATATAAAAAAACGACAATCGATTAATATTTATGGTGATCTCTATTCAGTATGTTCAAAATGGCAGACAAGAGTTCTTTTTGGTTTTGTGACTTGCTAACTACCAGGTCTCAAATTTGAGCCAATATTTTGAGACTAAAGCTAGGGACTTTTTAGTGAATAGTAACTAGTCACAAATTGAGATTTTAACACAAAATGGCTCAAATAGAGACTAGAGACTGGTTACAGAATCCCACTATGAGTATTATGTTAGTTTAGGTCACAACAGATATAATAAAATTAGGCGTAATTTTATGTAGTATTTTTACACTCTTGTAACCTGTTGTCACAGAGTATTATAGTCTAGTTACCTAACGGTTGTGCGTATCACATAAAACTGAACGAGGTAGATATAGCGTTATATACAAGTTTTATATATGTATAAATGAACACGGTGACGAAGTTGAACTCCGGTTGACTGTCTGTCCGTCCTTCCGTCCGTCCGTGCAAGCCGTAACTTTAGTAAAAATTGAGATATCTTGATGGTATCTTGGTTAGTATGAGAAAGCTTTATAGGTGCCGAAATGAAAACTGGACAATGGGCGTAGCACCACCTAGTTTTTTGTGAAATCCCATATCTCGGGACCCGACTAATGACAATAATAACGACGCGACCGTAGCGAAGTAGAGCAATAAACACGCCTGTGGGAAACATAACATTTTAAATTGTACTTGATTCGTTCAGATTCCAGTACACAAATCATAGAGCAATTAATGTAACGTGATAAAACTTTGCACAAATAATGTCCTTGTTGTATTCCTCGCTATGACCAAAATATGTTTAAAGCCAATAAAAACTGTTAAAGCCCCTAGATACCGAATATTTAGACCCCGGTGCATATAGTTGACGTTTGGCAATGTATGATATATGTATATAATTGAAATTGAGGGATAATCCGTCTCTTATATGGTATGTCTGTATGTCAAAAACGGATTGAATCAGACCAATACTCCCCTTAGCCCCCATACACTTAAAATAAAGATTTTCTTCCGGGTGACTTTGTACCGCATACATCGACCAATATGTGAGTTATCTCACTGGAAATATGATAGCGTGTGTTACACATTACAAAAACTTTGTCTAGCCCCTATATACATAACTGCTATCAGGATTTTCAAACATGCGATTGACTTTGCTCTATTTGATTAGTTTTACACTTTAAGGTATTTCCCTGGCTTTGGTTCTTGCAAATTGCAAGTGTATAAAGTGTTTGGTTGCACTGGAACTTAGCCCTTGCTTACTTTTTTATATAGTATTTATTTTGTTGCAGTGGTTATCTTTATATCTATGCATACTTTAATTTTAATTTTATTAACTATTTTTATTTTAATTTTCTGGTAAATAATGTTTTTCTTAAAATAAACTTTTTCTAGAAATTATTATTTTTTACACGACTCTAAATTTATTTATACATTAAATATATAATTAAAAGAAATTATTATAATTGTTATTATTAGTACTTCAGTCATCGACTAAAGCTCGCTCTGTGTAGACGTGTTTCGGCTTATCTTTTGCGTGTTTCGCTCAGTACACATCCGTCTTACGTGCACGTGTTTGCTTAGTAAATCTCTGTTTTATAATTATACCATATCGTTT